TCCCCCTCCTAACCCCACCAACCCCACGCCTTCCTCTGATCCTCTATCTCCGTCCGACCCGTCGAGCAGAGAGGAAACTTCCCAGAGCGCAGGGCAGCGCAGCCCGCCACGCGCGCGTCCAGGAAGCGCCGGGCAGTAATGCACCGCCCTGCGCTAATTTCGAACCGATGCGCCACGCGCTCGAGCGGCGACAGACACCAGCGCACGCTGCCAGAGACACGGCGACGAAAGGCTCGACAATAAATTGGCACGATTTGGAGGCGGGATCATCTGCAGAAACATGCCAGAAAGCACGTCCGTTTTTCTATACTCTCAGATTGATCCGGCGGATTACGAGGGAGGTCAGCGCCTGCGATACTCGAGGTAGGCCACCCCGCAGGACACGCATGTCCTGCATGGAGGGTGTTGCCTACCCACCAGGCGCTATGGGGGAGCTCGCAGAGGCTGGACCTCTCTGGCAGTTTCGTAAAACGGCGAAATGACGGGGCGTACTTTCTAGACGATCTCTTAAACGGCGATGAATTAAACCTTCGAGCAGCCGCACCTTGCAGCGAGGGAGGGAGGGAGGGAGAGGGGGGAAGGCCGTTCGTTTACACGAAGACATGGCGTTTGTTCGTCGGCGCGGGGCGGGCTGGTCTGGTCTGCTTGGCGCAGCGCGAGGTCGGTCGGTACGTTCCCAGGGGCGGGAAGGGCGGGGAGGGTCGGCGCGGGGCGACTGAACAGAACAGACCCGTCCGGGCTGACACGCCGGCGCCCCAGCAGCGGCCCCGACCGCCCTCCGCACACTGCCCCTGACCTTCCCCACGGTGCTGGTGGTGGTGTATAGCGCACGCCTGACTGACGCTGCGTGAGGCACCGGAAAATAAAAAAAGTAGTTGGACGAGACACACATGCTGCTGCTGTTGTTGTTGTTGTCGTCGTGGGTTCTCTCTCTCTTTCTGCGTCCCTCTCCGCTCTCATGACCCAGACCGCCACCGCGACTCCAAGGCTGCCGGCATTCTTCCCCCGCAGAGGGAGGTCGGCGCGCGACAGGGGCAGAAACCTCTCGCGGGACGCCGCCGCCGCCGTTCCTACAACTATATAGTACCACCTCAACGAAACTGAAATGAAACAAAGTTGTACAAAAGTGTCTCTTGGCGGAACTGCCGACCCCGCGGAGCAAGAAGAAGAGCACGAGGGCAACCCGACCCACGGCGGCTGGCGACAGAACGCCTCAAAACTCAGTAGCCGTTGTTACCTACATGATCGTCACAACTTCTAAAAAAACTGTAAAAGAGCAACAAGGTCAGTCGGGCGGTGGGCGTGAGTCATGCAAAGAAGAAGAGAGGGGGATGGGGAAGACAAAGTAGAAGAGACGTCATTTTTTTCGTTTGAGCGTGAGAGACGCGCGCAACAAACACAAATTGCCAAGCGGCAGCTATTAGTGACCGAGTGTTGTCACACCGTCACACCGGGCCACCTTCCGTTTCATTTCTCGCGACGGGAGGGAAGCTGCTCACCCGCGGAGCGCCAGTTACGTAATCGGAGCGCGGCCAGCGCTGCTGCTTGACATTCCGCCAAGTGATCTGGTGCGGCCCCACCCCGCCCCACCCCGCCCCGCCCCGCCAC